GAATCTGAAGACAGAGTTGGATTAGGAAAAACATTTAAGTTGAATTCAGTCCATATTTCAAAATTGATTATGAATAATGGCATTCAGGAACAAAGCCTGTAGAATTTAATGTGTGCCAGAACATACTTCTTGCTAATCACCCTGATGAGCTGTCTGCCGGAGAGAAACCTGATGCCCATAACCTGACTGGGAAATCCCCCAGATATACTGAGCAATTAACTCAGCATCACAAGCAAAGTGGGTAGCAGCCTTGTGAGCGTCGTGGACAAAGGAAAGCCTTCAACAAGGAAGCAGTGTTACTGACACATGGAGAGTTCATTTGGGAGACAGATCTTGTAAATATAATAAATAGGGGAATGCCTGTGGTAAGTCACATTTTAGTGATGGAGGGACAGCTCAGGTGCGGAAAACTTTTTGTAAAAAGTCTAACCTCACTAAACATCAGCAAACACACCGACCATAAGGCAGCCCTCACTGTACACCAAAGAAATCACACAGGAACAGGCCCTATGAATGTAATGAATGCAGAAAAACTTTTTACCAAAAGTCACACCTCTGCAAGCATCTGAGAACTCACACAGGTGAGAAACCATATGAATGTATGGAATGTAGGAAATCTCTTCAGGGTAAGTCAAAACTCATTGATCATTAGAGAAATCCGAAAGGTGAGAAACTACAAATGTAATGAATGTAGGAAAACTTTCAATCATAAGTCAGCTCTCAATGTACATCAGAGAACTCATACAGGGAAAAAAACCTATGAATGTGAAGAATTTGGGAAAGCTTTCACCCATAAGGCAGCCCTCATTGTACACCAAAGAACTCGCACAGGAGAAAGGCCCTACGAGTACAGTGAATGTGGAAAAACTTTTAACCAAAGTAACATCTCTGCAAACAGCAGAGAATTCACACAGGTGAGAAACTCCATGAATGCAAAGAATGTAGGAAATCTCTCAAGGATATGTCAAAACTCACTGAGCATCAGAGAAATCACACAGGTGAAAAGTCATATAAATGTAATGAAGGTTGGAAAACTTTCAATCATAAGTCAGCCCTCACTGTACATCAGGGAACTCATACAGGGGAAAAACTCTATGAATGTAATAATGTGGGAAATCCTTTAGCCAGAAGGGAAACCTTGGTGAGCATCAGAAAACTCACACAGGAGAGAGACACTATGAATGTAATGAGTGTAGGAAAACCTTTTCCACAAAGCAAACTTCAGCAGACACCAGGGAAATCACACAGAAGAAACACGATTGGAATATAATATGTGGGCAAAGTTTTTGCCAGAAACTGTACCTCAGCAGGTCAGTGAACTCACACAAGAGAGTAATACTGATTAGCAGAGACTGGCTGTTTTCCAAAATTCATTCTGTTTTCTCTTAAACACACACTTAGCCTGCATCTCTGAGCCTCTAATAGTGCACTCTTGACTGTACGGCTGAGCTCTGCAATGGAACATGTACTTAGCAATGAACATTACTTTCAGACCTGCCCCCACAAAACTACTATGCAGTCCTCCTTGGCTTCTCATGTTCTGTGAAACTGAATTGCAGAAAAGTACCAGTATGACCTTCAGAACCATAGATCTGAGAAAGTCACTGTGACAGCACAGAGGAATTGATTAAGAGAGCAGAGACCATCTACCTCTGTCCCAGAACCCTCTTCCTATCTTTATGTGAGTTGGAAATATGCATAAACATCTTCTCTTTGAGATCACTGTATGTGTGAACTCTCTATTACAACACAAACAGGCTACTGTAGTTAATTCTCTCATTTTTCTAAATAGACAGTACTTGTATATTAGAAACTTCATATGAGAGAAGGCTCTGTTATCACCTTTTATTTCTCAATCAACTTATAAAAAATTAAAGAAATCATGGGGAGAAACTATGCAACAATTTGGGAAAATCTTATCAAAGGGGGACATTTCTTTGAACCCTGAGAGTAAAGTAAATCTTTAATTAAGACTGCCAATACTGTTATGTCAAAGGATGCATAATAAAAGGAAAACTATGAATTTATATACTATGGATATAAATTATTAAACAGAAATGTTAAAAACAGTACAGAAAATACTTTTTAAATATTTATATGTCAGCAGTTAAATATGGGTGGTGATAATGCCTTCTAGCATATCTGGCCATGTCTAGGCATGTTTTTGGTTGTCATAACCAGGGGTTGGATAGAGGCCAGAGATGTTGCTCAAGTCTCCAATGCACAGAACAGCCTCCCCAAGTATGTAGGAATCATGCAGCATTCTATGTTAATATTCTATGTTAAATTTTCCTTACTAGAACCCAACACAACTGTGGGTAGAGAATATTTACACTTAGTGTTTAAAGCTTGTCAGTTTCATTAAGATTTCCATGTAAATTTCACTCTAGCCTCTTTAGATCTTTTTTAAAAATATTATTTATTTATTTGAAAGGCAGAGTTACAGAGAGGCAGAAGGAGACAGAAAGAAAGAGAGACACAGAGAGATTTTCCATCCGCTGGTTCACTCCCCAAATGGCCACAACAGCTGGAGCTGGGCCGATCTGAAGCCAAGAGCAAGGAGATTCTTCTGGGTCTCCCACGCAGGTGCAGGGGCCCAAGGACTTGGGGCATCTTCCACTACTTTCCCAGGCCATAGTATGGCGCTGGATCGGAAGTGGAGCAGCTGGGACTTGAACCAGTGCCCATATAGGATGCTGGCACTGCAGGCAGTGGCTTTACCTGCTATGCCACAGCGCTGGCCCCCTTTAAATCTTATTAAATAAGGTAAGTCTAAAGTATTGTGCTACATATTTTTTCCTACATTCCCATGTATGTAAATCTATATGACTATTGTTGCCAAGCTGTCTCTTAAGAAGATAATTATTTTTAAAAAATTTACTGCTAACAAACAGTCCCTACCACTTCTAAGGAAAACCTTAGTCTTACATAGAAGTGTACATGTCAGGCACACAATTAACAGCTGGAGTGTATTCAGTTCACTCTACTCAAGGAAAAGCAGTTTCTAGAAGGAAAATTACCCCTTTGTTCCTATCCTCTTAACTTTAAATGGCGGCAGCAATCTAGATATGTATAGGTGTACCAAGCGCTATATGGCTGAGAAATTTCTTCATTTGTATTTCCAGTGATGGACTGCTAAGTGGGTGTCTTGCCACCAATAGGGGCAACGCTGTAAATATGAGCTCCTCCAGTTACTGTGTGCATGACTTTATACTATAACCTCTCTGGGCTTCTATTTCTGCATGTTCAAAAAGAAACTAATAAGAGAACATCAGCTGGCGCTGCGGCTCACTAGGCTAATCCTCCGCCTTGCGGCGCTGGCACACTGGGTTCTAGTCCCGGTCGGGGTGCCGGATTCTTTCCCGGTTGCCTCTCTTCCAGGCCAGCTCTCTGCTGTGGCCAGGGAGTGCAGTGGAGGATGGCCCAAGTGCTTGGGCCCTGCACCCCATGGGAGACCAGGAGAAGTACCTGGCTCCTGCCATCGGATCAGCGCGGTGCGCCAGCCGCAGTGCGCGGGCCGTGGCGGCCATTGGAGGGTGAACCAATGGCAAAAGGAAGACCTTTCTCTCTGTCTCTCTCTCTCACTGTCCACTCTGCCTGTCAAAAAAAAAAAAAAAAAAAAAAAGAGAGACAATAGTCAAGGGCTGTCACTGTGGCATAGTGGGCTAAGCCTCTACCTGCGGTGCCAACATCTCATATAGGTGCCAGTTCGAATACTGGCTGCTCCTCTTCCATTCCAGCTCCCTGCCATGGTCTGGGAAAGCAGCAGAAGGTACAGGGTGCTTGGGCCCCTGCACCCATATGGGAGACCTGAAAGAGGCTCCTGGATCCTGGCTTCAGATTGGCTCAGGTCCAGACATTGCAGCCATTTGGGGAGTAAACCAGCGGTTGGAATACCTTTCTCTCTGTCTACCCCTCTCTCTCTAACTCTAGAATTCAAATAAATAAATAAATTTAAAAAGAGACAATAGTCAGCAGCAACCATCAGAATCAAAGTGTTTCCATTTACACGTTGATGGCAATATGTATATACATTTTGGAAAATTATTTAAGGAAGGGAAATATAGATTATAGATTATTCAAGGAATAAAAGTAATTTATAAACATGTAGATATAAAAAGGAATATTACAAAGATGCACACCATCAATAGCAGAGAAGAGGCCCCAATTCCTAAATTTGCCTTCACCACTCTCGAATGACCACACCCAACAGTTGTGGCTCTGGCATTTGATAAAGTGAACAGTCAACTGCCTTCATTAACATTTCCTCTTTTGATCGTAAATTGTCTTCTGAAATTCAGCTTCATCCATTTATTAACTAGAAATTGACTTTGAACCTGACATTAACAATATCCAAATTGTGAATCAGAATCAATCTGAGTGGTGGGTAATGTCGCATAGTATTAATCTCTTATTCTTGGCCTAACTTGCAGCTCCAAGCTGCAAGTAGCACCCTTGGCATAAAATAGTGATGCAGAATTTATTTGAAGCAGTATCTGATATCTACAGAAAGAAATGTGGGCAGTAAATATGAGTGATCATCCTGTAGAGACATTAGGATTTATATATCTGATGAAAGATATCTTATATCCTTGTCTTTGTGAAACGCATATTTTGCATTATAGTTTTAAACCAATGGCAATGAAGTTAATTGTGTTCCTCAGGAAGATCAATTTATCCTATGCAGTGGCAGGAGAAGAAACAGACATAGTGAAATAATTGAAGAGTCATCTCATTCTTCTTCCAGCCCTTATAAATTGAGAGCAAAAAGGAAGAAAAATAGAATAATCTCCTTCCCTATTAAACAATGAAAAAGTCACAGAACAATCTGCCCTTTTAGAGGAGGAACAAGTCAGCAGGTAGAGGCAAATGAATTTTGAGTGGTTACGATGAGGTTAGAGAGAGATGGACAGAATAAGAGATGCAAGAACAGTGATCCAAGATTCTCCTAAGCATTGTCCACACTGATAAGAGAAAATGAATAATGAAAAGTCACTTACTGAGTGTAAATTGAGTCCATAGGCCTGTTGATGCCACTGTCCATCATAAAAGTGTAAAGGGGAAAAAACCCTCCAATGACCACATTTCCATCCTTGTATACACTGCCTTTCTTTGTGAAAAAGCAACTTGGAGCAGCCAAACTGCACACAGGGAGAAAAATCTGCAGAACACAGAGGATAAACATCACAGGGAGCATCTTAGAAGTGTCTGCAAAGCCCAAAGTCTGAGTGGAGATGGAACCTCCAGTATCAGCTTGGCATAAACATGTGTGTGTGCAAGTGTGTGTGTGTGTACAAGTGTGTGTGTTGGGGGCGGGGTGGGTGTTATTATTATGAACTGAAAAGGTCAGTTTAATGACCCCTGACTTCTTTCAAGCCTTCTCCAATCCCTTGGAGGAATTTGAAACACTTTCTGCCCTGGAGCACTGCACCTGAGATTCTATATCCAGGTGAAAAACACCAGTTGGAAATATGTTGTGGTTCATCTTAGTGCCCAGATGGTATGACACCAAGGCTACAGGGAAATTCCAGTGTTGGTCATAGTTGGTCTCAAGTCTGTATCAATCAGCCATTGTTAGAGTTATTTTCCAACCTGACAGACATGGCCACATATAGCTATTGAGCATTTGATATGAGGCTAGTCCCTATAGGCCAGTGTGTAAAGGCAATATATGCAATGGGTTTCAAAGGCTTTCTATGAAAATACATGTAGCTATAACATGTCAATATTCCAAATGTTTATCTGAGATTTTAAAAAATAGTTATTAATAGAAACATCAGATATCATGTATTTTGTAGATACAATTCTAAGAAGATAACTGTATTTCCCTCCTTCCCTCAAGCCCCCTCCTTCCTTTCTTTTTTTTATAATTTTTGCAAAAACATAATTTAGGTCCTCTATATAATTGCAAGTTTAGTGCACCACTAACCATAATATGCAGCAAGTAAAAAGTAGAAAGATCACAGCTCCACAGCAGAATAAACAAGCTAGAAAAATTGAATTATCCAATGTTATATTAGTTATATTAAACTGCACTTTACTGTCATTTAAAGAAGAATTGCAATATAATGAAATGAAACAGACATTTTTTAAACTGTGGTTATTGTTAAAATTTTACATAATTTACAGCTAAGACTTTTATACTTTTATGGGGTACTGTATTATAACTTGACACACATATAATGTTTAAAGGTCAAATTGTGATAATTACCATTTCCATCTCTAAAATTTAAAAAGACAAATATAGAAATCCGTATATTTCAGGGGTTAGTGCTATGGCATATTGGGTAAAGCTGCTGCTTGCAGTGCTAGCGTCTCATATGGATACCATTTTTGAGTCCCGACTGCTCCACTTCCAATCCAGCTCTCTCTTATGGCCTGAGAAAGCAGTAGAAAATGTTCCAAGTGCTTGGGCCCCTGCATCTTCATGGGAGACTTGGAAGAAGCTCCTGGATCCTGGCTTTGGATCTGTGCAGTTCTGGCCATTGCAGTCATCTGGGAAGTGAACCAACAGATGGAAGACCTCTCTGTCTTTTTTTCTCTCTATCTCTCTGCCTCTCTGTAACTCCGACTTTCCAATAAATAAATAAATCTTTAAAAAAAAAACCACATATTTCAAATGACCAAAAATTACAAAAACTAAACCATGAACAAAGTTTTAATATTATTAATAGGCAAACAAAAACATTTAGGAATACATTAAACAGAAATTTCATGATCTTTAATAATTGAAAATAATAGAGCACCCCACACAGAAAAATTGGCCAAGTACACATTTTGATAATTCTCTAGTATTCATTTATGTATTTGAAAGGCAGAATGAAAGGAGAAAAAGAGATCTTACACCTGCTGGTTCACTCCTCAAATGGCCACAATGGTCCCAGTTGGTCCAGGTAGAAGCCAAGAGCTTGTAACTCCAGCAATGTCTCCTCTGTAGGTGGTAAAGTCCCAAACACTTGGGCCATCTTTGACTTCTTTCCCAGGTGCATTAACTGGGAGCTGGATAGAAGTAGAGCAGCCAGGACTCACACTGGTGCTCACATATGGGATGTCAGTGTAGTAGGTAATTGCTTAACTCATTGCTACCTAACACCAGCCCCACATTCATATAATTCTAAAAGAAAATACTTTGACTAGCAATGGTTAGAGTGAGTATCCTTGTCTGGTTCCAGATCTTAGTGGGAATGGTTCCAACATCTCTCCATTCAATAAGATGCTGGCTGTGGGTCTCTCATAAATTGCCTTGGTTGTGTTGAGGATGTTCCTTCTATACTCAATTTGCTTAAAGTTTTTCATTATGAAAGGATGTTGTATTTTATCAAATGATTTCTCTGTATGAAATAATCACATGGTTTTTGTTCTTTAGTTAGTTAATGTGATGTATCACATGTTTTTATTTGTGAATGTTGAACCATCCCTGCACACGAGGGATAAAACTAACTTGGTCTGGGTGAATTATTTTTCTGATATGTTGTTGGAATCAATTAGCTAGTATTTTGTTGAGAATCTTTGCGTTTATGTTCATCAGGGATATTGGTCTATAGTACTCTTTCTCTGTTGTATCTTTTCTGGTTTAGGAATTAAGGTGATGCTGGATTCATAGGAGTTTGGGAGAATTCCCTCCCTTTCAATTGTTTTGAATAGTTTGAGAATTTTGGAATTGGTTCTTTAAATGTCTGGTAGAATTCAGCAGTGAAGCCATCGGGACTTGGGCTAATTTTGCTTTTGTTGTTAGAAGGATCTTTATTACTGATTCAATCTCCGTCTTGGTTATTGGTATATTTAGGTTTTGTATGCCTTCCTGATTCAATTTTGGTTGATTGTCTGTTTCCAGGAACCTAAGCATTTCTTCAAGGTTCTCCAGTTTGTTGACATACAGCTCTTTGTAGTAATTCCTAATGATTGTTTTTATTTCTGTGGTTATCTGTTGTTACATATCCTTTTTCATATCTGATTTTATTGATTTGGATTTTTTCCCTCTTTTTTGGTTAATTGGGTGAGTGGTGTACCAATTTTGTTTATTTTTTCAAAAAGCTAGCTCTTTGTTTCACTGATCATTTGTATTTTTTGTTTCAGTTTTGTTTTTTACTTCTCTAATTTTAATTATTTCTTTCATCCTACTAATTTTGTGTTTGTCCTGTTGTTGTTTTTCTAGGTCCTTGAGATGCATTTATAGCTCATTTATTTGGTACCTTTCCAATTCCTTGATGTATGCACCAATTGCTATAAACTTTCCCCTTAATACTGCTTTTGCTGTATATCCTGAGTTTTGATATGATGTATTCTCATCTTCATTCACTTCCAGAAATTTTTTGGTTTCTCTTTTGATTTCTGCTATGACACAGTGTTCATTCAGCAGCATGTTGTTCAGTCTCCATGTGTTTGCATATGTTCTAGAGATTCTTGAATTGTTAATTTCCAGCTTCATTCTGTTGTGGTCAGAGAAGACACATGGTATGATTTTGATTCTTTTGAATTTGGTAAGACTTGTTTTATGGCTTAGCATAAAGTTTCATGTACTGATAAGAAGAATGTGTATTTTGCAGCTGTGGGATGAAAAGTTCTGTGGATATCAGTTAGGTCCATTTGATCCATAGTTTTGACTACCTCTGCTATTTATTTGTTGATTTTTCTATCTACTTGATCTATCCATTGATGAAAGTGGGATGCTGAAGTCCCCTGTTACTATTGTTTTGGAGTCTATGTCTCTTTAGATCCATTAACATTTCTTTTAAATAGTCAGGCACCCTGGAATAGATTACATTTACATTTATTGTTGTCACATCTTCCTGAAGAATTGATCCCTTAATCATTATATAGTGCATTTCTGTGTCTAATAGTTTCTGTGTTAAGGTCTATTTTGTCTGATATTAGGATGGTTACACCTGCCTTTTTTTTTTCTTTCAGTTAGCATGGAATATTTTTTTCCATCCTTTCACTTTCAGTCTGCATGCATCTTTGTTGGTGAGGTGTGTTTCTTCTAGGAAGCAAATAGATGGGTCTTGTTTTTAAATCCATTCGGCCAGTCCGCATCTTTTAACTGTAGAGTTTGGAGCCCTTGTTATATTTGTAGCTTGATTTGTAAGAGGCCCCTACTGCTTATTGGATGAATTAAAATAACTTTTTAAATATTTGTTTTATTTGAAACGCAGAGTTACAGAGAAGCAGAGGCAGAAAGAGAGAGGTGGGGGGAAGAGGTTTTCCACCTGCTGATTCACTCCCTAGGTGGCTGCAATGGCCAGAGCTGCACTGATCCGAAACCTGGAGCCAGGAGTTTCTTTCGGGTCTCCCACACGGGTGCAGGGGCCCGAGGACTTGGGTCATCTTCTGCTTTCTCAGGCCATAGCAGAGAGCTGGATTGGGAGTGGAGCAGCCAGGACTTGAACTGGTGCCCTTATGGGAATGCCAGCACCGCAGGCAGTGGCTTTACCCTCTATGCCACAGTGCCAGCTCCTAAGAATAACTTTTATATCATAGTTCATGGCTTCAAAATTATACTGTACCTTAAGCAGGGGGAAGGAGGATCTAATTCAGTTCATAAAATGGTATGATTTGGTACATTTGTAGTTGTTTATTCTTTAGATTTTCAAAAGCACTACTCTGAGAATCTGTTCATTCTGAACTCAGTGGAAAGCTTCATGTGGTAAACTGCGTATCTTCTAGCTGTTGTAATTAATTTGACTTGAATAACCTGAATTATTTCAAAGGCAGCATCAAAAATAATGTTCTTTTCTTCTACCTCCATTGCCAAAAAAGAGAAAGACAGAGGGAGGGGAAGAGAAAAAGTAAAGTAGTGACCAACTTTCACCTCTAAATCTGCTGGATCTCTCAAATAACTTTTGATTCATAAAATTAGACTTCTGGTGACTGAATGACTGCCAGAGGTCACCCAAAACCATAGCCCATATGTCATAGTGAGGACATCGGCATAAAGAAGCCGAGTGACTTGTCCTGGTCTCTCAGCTATCAGGATAAGAGAGGGACATACATCAGAATTACCTGTTCACTACTTCTAACAAGTACTTTTACTACATCTATGGTGAGACCAGATGTGTGAACTAGAAAGTATCAGTCTGAAAACTCAGCTCTGAGCAGCCACAAAGCCCTACGGCTTTTCTGCAGCATTTCAGGTCCCTCCTGGGGTTTCTGTCCGTATTTCCCCCAATCTAGCCCAAGTCCTGTCACTTTAAGGCTGGATTTTGAGCTTTCAGCTTTTCTCCTTCATAAACTTTGCCAAACTGATTTTTCTAAACCACTTCTGCTGCCATAGCTCTCTTCTGTTAGACAATCTTCAATGACTTAACTCAAAGATTCTCAACCCTTAGGGCACACAAGACTCACCTGTACTCTCATTTAATAGCTAAGTCCAGGGTGGGCCTTTGGTGCATTGCATCCCATATCTGAGTACCTGGTGCAAGTCCCAGCACCTCCACTTTCAACCCAGCTTCCTGTGATGCACATGTGGAACACAGCAAGTGATGGCTCAAGTACTTTGATTCCTTCCACACAGATGGGAGATCCAGATTAAATTCACAGGTCATGGCTTTGGTCTAGCCCGATGCAGGCTGTTCTAGATACTGGGGAATGAACCATCAGATGGAAGATTTGTGTCTGTCTCCAGTTTCTGTGTCATTTAAATAACATTATACTTAGTGAAATAAGCCAGTCCTAAAAGGACAAACACCATATGTTCTCCCTGATCTGTGGTAACTGATAGTGCACCTAAAAGGTAATCTATAGTAGTGAAATTGACACACTGAGATGGATGACTTTGAACAACCCTTGTCTCTACGGTTGAGGAACAGGTTTTTTTTTTTCATACTATTTGTTGAACTCTTTATTTAGTATATTGTTAATCTTATATATATATATATATATATAAAGTTAATTAAAATAGATCTTAGTAAAAAATAAGAATGGGAATAGGAGAGGGAGGAGGAAGAAGGGTGGGAAGATGGTTGGGAGGGCAGGTAGGGTGGGAAGAATCAT